AATGAGAATGCAAACAAACTCCAAACGTCGGTATCTACTCCTAAATCGGTTGCATCATAAAGACTGCATATGTATCCTCTTACCCAAGGAATCAAGCATTCACGTAGTTTACCCAATGGCCTCCAAAGGCCCTCACTCCAATAGAAGAGTTCGTAACCCTCCTCCAATATCATCAACTCTGCGGCTGATAGCACATCCAATGGCCTCAAAGTGTAACGAATCAAACACCTCCACCTGAGGTGAACCAATGGCCATATCCAAACTACATCTATCAGCTACGCTCGAATCAAAACCTAACTCATCATTTGTATCCAAAACCAATTGATTCCCAAACTGTGTCACCTCAGCTGGAATTCCAACCAATACAGAATAATCTGGAATATGTGGAGTAATCTCCACCTAATGTGAAGTAGCATCACTCTCCACCTTCTATGATACCTCTATGATCTTTCCAAAACTTTCCACCTGCTGAGAGCCAATAGGCTCCCTCATCGAAGCCTCATCCAATGTGACATTACTAGACCAAATATCCAATTGAGTTTTACCTCCAATCACAGCAGTTGACAACTCTTTAATAGGATGACCCAAATATGTCGAAGACTTATTCCAGAAACTCTTCTGCAAACCATTGCTTGACAACAAACACTGATCCTCCTCCAGCAAGGCACGGTTCTCCAAATTTTCCACCCTATCTAGTTGCCCTAAGATTTTCTTTCCAAGAAAGTGTCTCGAAATGCCGTGAGCTCGACTCCAATACAGAAATAAGTCCATCTTGTACCTCCCACCAAAACCAGAATAAAGTACCTTCACCTTTCTGTCTATCATACACTTCTTCAATCTGTTTGAGACTACTAGAACTTTATCAAAAGGGAATTTGGTTGCAACCCAAACATGCCTAGAACAGCCACTAACAATGGAAACTAAACATCTATTTCCTCCTAGTGATGCCTCCTTGGGAGGCTCTCAAACATCCACGTGAACCCCATATGAAACACCCTTCGTGCGGTGAATAGAGATGCCAAACTTCACTTCGATCTTCTTGCTCACACCAAACTATTTATTGGATTTCAAATTGTAGGTTGTTGCACTCATCTCCAAATCAATACTGGAATGACAAAGCCCCAAATGCCGTAGTCTAGTCGAATCAACAGAAGTCGCCAGTTCTCCACCTGTCACTGTATTTCTAATCAAATAGTACAGGTTATTCCTCCTGACGCCCTTCATCACAATCAAAGAGTCTTCCACGATCTTGAGAATCATGTCCTCAACACGAACCTTCAGACCCTCTCTAACCAAAACTCCAATTGAGATCAAGTTCTTCCTCAAGGAAGGAACAAATCTCACATCATATAACTCCCTAACAATCCCGTCAAACATATTGATGCGAATTCTTCCTATCCCAAGGATCTAGCATGCACGGTTGTCTTCCATATATACCACACCACTATCCAACTTCACAAAACCGGAGAACCATTCCCTTCTAGGGCACACATGATAGGTCGCACCACTATCCAACATCCACTCGGATTCCTCCGAATAGCTACCTGTAGGACTGATGGAAAGCGAATAAATAGAAGTATCAAAAATGTTACCATCCGATATAACGATGTTTGCTTCTGATGATGGTTGCTTCCCTTTTCCCTTCTTCTTATTCTTCATCCATTCGTCAAACTTTGGACAATCTTTCTTCTAATGACCAGTCTCCTTGCACCAAGCACACTGATCTTTTCCAACTGTAGGATGCTCTACTCTAGACTGTGACTTCCAATTCTTTTGGTTTGGATTCTTTCCTCTTGTGATAAATGCCTCCGCTACTGGCTCAACTGAAGCCTCCTTATCCTTCTTTCGAAGATTATTGACTCTTAGTTTATGAATAGACTCACGGGCCATAGATTATGTGTCATGGGATAAGGATGGATTTATGGAGTATCATCACTTTTCAATGAAAATCAAATGACTTTTCATGGGAAATGATCCGAGCAAGGAAGTTGCCGATATTGGCAAATTCTAGCTAGATCTAGGAGGTGGAAGCACTTCGCTCCTTCCTACAGTCTTGCTTGTCTCGAAGATTAGGCAAAATCTCCTTTTGATGTTTAAGCTATTTCATTTTGGTTATCACATTCATTTTAACAAAAACAATGTTTTTATTATGGGATATGGTTGCAATATCGTTGGGCAAAATTCAAATGGTTTATAGTTTATTGATGTGGACAATTTTGTTACAATTGCTAATGAACCTTATAGCTATTCTATGAACTCTATTTTTCTGTATGACTCTATGATATAACATGCTAGATTGGGACACATAGGAAATGAACAATGACTAGTCTAGCTCGAGGCAGACTTCTTGGTTCGTTCGCTAAAGTCGTCTTACCCACTTATGAGCCTTGCTTTGTAGTCAAAGCTACAAGAAAACTATTTGGAATAGCTAAACATGCATCTACATCATTACAACTGATCCACTCTGAAGTTTGCGGATCATTAGGTGTGAAGGCTCGGACTTGAACCCCTTTCTTCATTACCTTGATAGATGATTATTCACAATATGGTCATGTCCACCTATTCTCTCTCAAGTTTGAAGCACTGGGTTGCTTACAGTGTTATTTGAATTAGGTTGACAATCAGTTTGACAAGTGCATAAAAGTGTTATGAACTGATCGTGGTTGAGAATATCTATCTAAACAGTTTAAGGAACTGTGTGAGAAGAAAGGGATCGTTCAACAAATGACTACTCCTTATATTCCGCAATAAAATTGTGTGGCAGAGAGAAAGAATAGAATATTATTTGACATGGTGAGGTCCAAGATGGTTCAAGCAAACTTACATATATCCTTTTGGGGAGATGTGATGTTGACTGCAGCCTATGTACTAAATGCGTACCTTCTAATGTTATTGATTCCACACCTTTTGATATTTGGACTGGTGAAAAACCTAACTTGGGCAATTTGAGGCCATGGGGCTTGGTGACTTGTGTGCACACCACATCCCATCAACATTAGAAGTAGGCCCCAAGGGGAGAATCCATCTTTATTTGTAAAACAAAACATTCAAATGGTTAGGTGTTCATTGGAGCACAAAAAGTTAAAATAACTCCTAAGATCGAGTCACACAATACAGAGTTCTTTGAGAAGTATTTTTCCATAATAGGAAGATGAGCTAAGACTTTGACTTGTTTGAGATGGAGGAAAGCGCACTAAGTATCCCAGTTGTGCATGAGGAAGTCCTGCACTAAGTAGACCCATAATTGATCCTGTACCACCATCATAGGATTCTCAATACCGCATACGAAGCAATTGCTAATTAATCTTTCATTGTCATTTTGAGATTGAGGGGCAAGCATGTATGATCAAAGAAGAACATTTTTAGTGAAGGATTTGCCTCCTTAACTTCCAACCCCTTTATTTATATTACCTTCTTTTATCTCTCATAATTTCATAATAAACGAAATATCTTTTCCCAAAATGTACTGTAAAATTTAAAATATCCATTTAGTTGTGATATGATCAAAGAAGCTTTTTGCCTCGACAGGAACCCATTCAAATTCAAATAACAATTACAACTACTATTATTATGTCTCAAATGCTAATGTACACACATTCTTGCTTTTTTTAAGTATTATTCCATAGCGTACTCTATTTATGCATCAATCTTGATCGGATACGCTTTAAGGAGAAGAATGAAAATTAGAAATTTAGTTAAAAATTTTAAAAAAAATCAAATATATATGCTTCAATATTGCATCTATTTATATCTATATTTATCTATCTATTTATCTATATAGTAAAACAAAGCCCTTAGAAGGCATGTAGCATGATTTTAGAGATTTGACTTTTAATATTCTCTCATATCTATATCTAATGTTATAGCATACAATATACTAATTTACTGTATTATTATCAAGATTCTGTTGTTAGCTGTGAACCGAAATCCTTTTCAAATTCTATTGTTACTCTTAGAAAGTAACTGATATTCATGAACTAATATTTGAATAATGACCATTTGTATCTCTGTCCCCTCTACATTCTATTAACGGAAAAGCCCAAAATTTAATGTCTTCAAAATCTAAATTTCAATTGCAGTAGATTAAGATCATTGATTAAATGCTCTTCCAAAATGTGAGAAAAATTGGTCTTTTCATATAAATTTATTATTCTGATCTCCTTTCAATTGATCATATTCTCTAGGTAAGGGATTCTTCATGTAGATATTGGATAGGTTAAACGAGAAGGTAAATATCTCCTATTGCTTCCTTTGTTTTTTAAAACTTCTTAGTTTATTATTGTATTGAGTTATTTATCATATCATCATTGCTAGCATGAAAAAATTAACATGAATTATATATTATTCCACCGTATGACTAATGATTGACTACGTTGTAATATAGCCAAATGATTCAAATACAATTGAGCATTTGGTTAATTTTTTTATATTTATGGAATATTTTCACAACATTAGAATACATAAAGATTTGTTTGGTTAGAAAATTTTGTAACATTTTTCATAGTTACAGGGACAATTGGAGATATAATACTGTGTGATTTTTTAGATATGTCCAACTATGTTTCAATTATTTTTCTTTTTTTAGCATCTTTAATTTTGCACATATTGCTTGAGCGTTTAGAGTAAATAAAGTAAAGTCGTCTATCCAACTTTGAAAATACAGAAGTAGACTAATTTTTTAAATATTTTCGAAGCATGGTGCGGGTATAACACTAGTATAAGAAATACTCTTTTAAGAATGTGAAGAAAATACCAAACTTTAAAGGAAAATAGGCATTAGAAAAATGAAGGAAAGCAACTATACAGAATCTGAAAAAAAAAACACCAAAAAAGTGAAGAAAAATGGACATTTAGAAAATGAAGAAAAGCAACTTAACAGACCCCCCTTTGACTTCCATTGTTCGAAAGGATGCGAAGAGTAACGATAAACAAGTAAGAATCCACACGGGCCCCACCAAAACCAATACTTTTTGGGTGAGAAGCCGAGATCCACACTTCCGATCTGGTAAAATTCATCATAAATTGAATTAAAAAAAAAAAACTCGATTCAAAAGTGCGACGGTTTTCTTTCAACCGCCGGTTTCTATATCCAAGGTCAGATTTTGCGTTGTCTGCTCGATTCGTAAGGTCTGGTTCCTGATACCCATTTAAGATTTCGGTGTTAAAAATTGGAGTTCGTTGTTTCAAACCGAGGCCTTTTAAGGAGCTGAGGGGTAAAGGAGCCCCTCACAAATTTCCCATTAATTTACCAGTCTCAGTTGTTGTAAAATCGGAGCTTGTGGGTCAGTCTTGTACATGGGTTGAAAGAAAGAAAGAAAAAAAACCCTAGTTCTTATTCCAGACTGATTAATTAAGGCCTTTGAGGGATTGAAATTTGTGGGGGAATGAAGGGGGTGAAGGAGGAGGAGAAGACTAGTAGCCCTATGTTTCCAAGGCTTCATGTTAATGATACCGATAAAGGCGGTCCCCGGCCGCCACCGAGGAACAAGATGGCTCTCTATGAACAGCTTTGTATCCCTTCACAGAGGTTTAATTCTTCAAGTTCGTTGCTGCCGTCGCAGAACGCTCAAAATGTCGGTTCTTCTTTGAAGAAGGTGAGTTATTCTTGAAATTTGCTCCATGGGTTTATTTTTGCATTGAATTTTATAACAAGAGTGTTTAGATATGGCTTTTTCTTATTGTATTATGGATTATTTTATGTAAATAGCTAATGTTGATCTTATGTAAATAGCTAATTTCAATATTTATATATATATGTGCATATAAATATTTATATAGACGTATCCCCGTACCCTACGTTCTACAAATTTGTCATGGCCTGTACCTCTACCCACACCCACACCCCTACTGGTGCCTGTATTCATTTCCATGCAACATAGATGACGATCTACCCTATCCCACGTGTTCATCGTTAAGTTTGTAGGATATCTTTCCTTTTTCCTACCTTTCCTTTTAGTCATGATCAGATTTTCTTGGGGAATGAACCATAATTCAGAATTTTGTTGGTCCTGTCCATATTAACAAATACATCTACCGATGCCTCACCCATCTTTGTTTTTAGCTTGGCCATAACGACACTGAATTTCTTCACCATTACTCTTGCTTTTGGTATTAACACATAGTTGTGAATGTTATATGATGTATTTCCTAATCCATTTGTTGATAGCACATTAAGATTTGAAATGCATTGTTCATTTGTTGATCTGCATTTACTTGCTCTAATAAATAGTCTGCTAACATAGGGAAATGGTCATGAGGGGAATGTGTTGTCTCCATTCTATTCATCTGCTACAGTGGCCGTTACAGTTGAGAAGGTTAATTCTCGTTCTTCTGATGGAGAAGATGCAAGATCCAGAGAAAGAGAATTTGAGAGAAGTGCCGTTAGGAACATGAATTTCAAATCTGCAAATGCTGTAGGATCAGTTGCTGAATGTAGTTCGCTGCATCGTGATGCCTCTAATACAAAGAATTCATCCTGGAAGAGAGTTGATGATGATGATGATTTTAGGGTCCCTACTTATGTTAACTATGAAAATGTTTTAAATCTGTACAAGGATACGAGTGGTGCTGAAAAACGAATGTTAACTACACTTAATTCTTCTGTGCAATTATCAAGCTCTTGTAAAAGGATTCTGGAACAAACCAGTCATTCAGATCCAAAGTCTGGAAAACTTGAAAGAAGTAGCAGGCAAAAGCTTAATGATATGTCAGTTCTGGGAGAGCAAACGGCACAGGCTTTAGCACATCAAGAAGCTGGGGAAAAGCTTGCAGAATCATCAAGATTTGTCAAGTCATCCTCTGACCGAGAACCTACTGCAAGTTGCCTAAAGTCATGTGGTAATGATCCTCTGAATGGGCTCACGGCTCAGAGTGACCCTCACTCTAAAGCATCAGTCAGTCACAGATCTATGAATGTGGCTGATGTCTGCAATCAGACAACCGATGATAAGGAAAATAGCTCATTGGAGCAAAGTGATGCTGAGAGAAATGATGAAATGTCTGACACGTCAATGGTCGACTCTATATCAGGGTTGGAGATATCACCTGATGATGTTGTAGGAGTAATTGGTCCAAAGCAGTTTTGGAAAGCGAGAAGAACTATTGTCAAGTAAGTAAGCGTCTAGTTACTTAAATGCTTATATCTTTGCATCTCTGCGGATTACTTTTTCGATATCCGTGTTTTTCTTAATGGTGATATTTCCTGCCGTTTTGAATCTACAGCTCTTCAGTTAGTCATATTTTTCTGTAGCATTATGTACTCTCAATTGGCAACTGATTCTTTCTTTGCACTAAAATAAGAAAGCAGAGATTCATACTTATGCATTCCTTAATAACTTGCGCAGAGACTCACGACGAGAGGTGGTTTTATTGTTCACTGGAACTATTTTACATTATGTACATAATAATTTTCAAAATCTTTAAACATTTCTATTCCTTCCCAATTGCTTGTCTTCTTGCAAGGTCGGTGGTGTTTATGAGATCTTTATCCTGAAACAAGTTGGTTCCTGTGAGATTCTGTATGTTGAAAAAAAATGTGAACTTGTTAAGATGATTTATTTTATTAAAAAAATATAGTTAGGAGGGGATATGGTAAATGAAGCACATACTAAGATCAACTGAGCACTTGCTTAATGATTGTAGGTAGTATGACAAGTGGCTTAAACTAAGAGGTTTTTCGGACTAGACTTTCGGCATGTCTCCAACTGGTTTATATTTCACATCAGACATATTGCTGTTTTGTATCATGCAAATTTGCGCTTAGAATTTTTGTGGGAAACTTCTATTTGGCTATTGTCTTGCTCATTGTGTTCTGCTTTAGAGTAATATAACCAATTCGTTGTGCTTTAGAGTAATATTCAATTCTCGTACTGCACTGTTAGGTCTATGAAAGTTTGTTGATATTGCACGAAAGAGGGCTGTGAGTAGTTGAAATTAACTAGCTTGATGGAAAAATCCAACTCGACTCCCAGAAAGCTGTCCTTACCCATGCCTTGTCTGATGTTGGCTTAAGATCGTACGAGGGCCAAGGCCAATTCAAACCCGAACTAAACCTGTATAAATTCGAGTCAGTTTATATTAGATTTGGATAGAATGTTGTAAGGTTAATGATGTTGTATATGGGCTAAACATCCAACTTCCACACTCAGTGTGACATATCTGTGCTATGCCCTGAATCCCTCTCTTGAAATGACTCTCATCTCTGCTGTACCTACCTCAATATGATCACCAGTTGCTTGCATCGGTCTTAGTACCATCATAACTTGTCATGAACTTGTGCTTGAATAGATACCGATGCTTGTCTTTTTATGTCTTCCCATTATCATGTAATGTTGAGCAGCAAAGATGTTTGTGAATAACCCTGGCATTATGTAATTAGATTCACAACTTTTACAGAAATTTATGCTTCCTCACTCTATTGTTTATGTGCTGATTTCAAATGCTACCCATAGTTGTTAGGAGAAGCTCTTCAAAGAGCATATTTCCTCTATTATACATGTTGAACCTTTTATACTGTATGGTTCATGAGTATTTTGACACAGTTTTATAGTTTGTTCAAACAAAGGTACTTTGTATGGTTGTATGAAGCTACTCATGTCCGCCCCAAAGTTTGTGTGAATAGATCGCATTCACAATGAAAAAAATCTACTTGAATGATTAATTGATTATTGACCTCTTTCTAGTTTCTAATTGGGATATGGAAATTTTGTAAGCAGCTCCTTCCTTTAGTTATTTGCTCTCAGTTTTGGTAAAAAGGATTCACTTCCTTATATTTTTTTATTATAGACATAAAATGCATTTCTGGGGCCATGTAATTCTCGAATTAATCTTGACAAAGATTGAGTGCATAAACATAGTATTTGATCATAGTTGGTATTTAGCTAGAAGTACAAATGCGGAAGCGTTGTGAAACTTTGTTGGGTGTTGCTGCATAAATTGAAGTGTTTAATACATGCAAAGATTAAACTTCTATAATTTGATTATCTAAAAGGTTAGAAACCATTAATTTTGGAAGAGGAACTTCTGGTGGCAGTGAAACTCCGTATTCTCTTATTTAGATGAGCTTTTGATCATGTCCTCCATATTATGTGTAAATATGCAGGTATTGTCTCTTGTGGAGGATGTTCATGTTGGCTACAGCATGAGACTATGCTCTTGTGTCTAATCTGCTGACATAGTGATTCTATAACTACATTCTCCGTTCCATTATTTTGGAGTTGTGTTGCATGTGAAATAACATCTTGCCCGGCGACTGAGACATTAGGATCTATTTTGAGGAACCTTCCATCTCCTCCTTGATCATCTAATTCCGCGACACGAGGGTTTGTGAGGTGAATTTGAATATTTCTAATGATCAAGGAGAAGATGTCAAGATATCAAATGGTAGGATATGACTATTTTGGGGTTTTTACAAGAATAGGGTTTTCCTTTTAAAAATTGTTGTGTTGTTGTCTGTTACTAGCTTTTGCCCTCTTCATATGTTTATATGCTTTTGTTGTTTGTGCTTGCTGCTTAGATCAATCATTTGATAGTTAAATTCAGTTCAAGTTGTTTAGTTCTGAGCTCATGCATGGAAAGGGCTTTCATCACCAATACGACTCCATGGATCAATCTACACATAACAGAGACTGCAGCTTCCATATTCTTGACATTCAACTAAATTAACTATAAGAAAGTGAAAAAGTATATGGTTTTAATTAATTACCTCCTCTTCTCAGTGTAATTACTGATGCCTATTCCTTTTTATAATCAACTTATTCATCTTTATCCTGTACAGCCAACAGAGGGTCTTTGCAATTCAAGTGTTTGAACTACACAGATTGATAAAGGTTAGTAATTTCCACCTCCTTCACCCAACCTACTCTAAACTTACTACATGTAGCTTCAAGTACTAATACAATTTATTTTTCCATCAACCAGGTTCAAAAATTGCTGGCCGCCTCGCCGCATCTACTTCTCGAAGAGAACACTTGTACAACTCCACAAAAACTACCTGTTAAGAATCTCCATATAGAGTCTTATATCAAACCTCAGCCACCGACAGCTAAACAAATAGATGTCCCCGAGACTCCAAACCCTAATCCTAATACCGAGTACCAAACCGAGAGCACTGAAGTTTCCAACAAAGCACCGGTTCAGCCGCCGAGACCTTCAGCTTCTGATAACAGATCAAACCCTTGGTGTTTCCAACCATCTGCACATCAGTGGCTTGTACGCGATAATGTCCTTCTGAAGGGCTCATTTACAAGCCATACTCCGGCACGTGCGCTCCACCTGCAGGTTTCATGACCCCCGTTTATGGAAACTACGTGCCAAATCCTTATGTCCATCCATCAATGAACCCGATGATCTCCAGCTCTGCTATCGAACAAACTAACCCCGTGACTGGTCCAAGACCTAATCCGCCTGTTGAACAAAACTCTCGGAGCTCATGCAACATATCTTTTCCGAAAAGTGATGCAGTTACCGGACGACCTTGGAAAGTTCCCATGTCGAAAGACAGTGACTTGCAAGGGAGCAGCGCGAGTAGTCCTTGTGAGAGGGCACAAGGAGAAGGGAGGGACGCATTGCCTCTTTTCCCTATAGCGCCGAATGCAGAAGCTTCAGTTCAGCGTGGAGAGTCTAATGATAAAGAACTTCAGATTCGGGTCATTAAGGTCACACCTCATAATGCGAGGTCTGCGACGGAGTCAGCAGCAAGGATTTTCAGGTCGATACAGAAAGAGAGGCAGCAACTCGAACAGTAATCAGTTTAATGGAAGTGGTCACTGGGGTGTGAAGTTGGCACTGAGGTGTTTTGGTAGTTTCAGTCATCTAAAGCTTGGCGTTTTTAGGTTTGTCCATGTAAATATGATCCTGAAATCTGAGGAATCAATACTTTGTAGCTGTATGAGTTCTTCATGTAGAGTTTTGTTTAGGGAAAATATGTGCGTAATCGATCACGTATATTTGTAGCAATAGCAGACGGATTTTTTATAAATGGGATCACTGTATAAACTGGACCATTGTATAACCTGGATACAGAGTGTTCCTATGTGTACAATTTTTGTTTAGAAATATCTGATACCCGTGTCTGATTTTTGTTGGGTTTGCATTATCAGGATTTGTTGTCTCAAGGTTTCTTTTAAGTTGCCTTAGGTGATTGTACAGCTGTAACTGTGATGCCAGCATCAAACACTATGTAACTGTAATTGCAATACAAGAATCCACACAAATGATTGGTGGTAGAAGAGCAATTATTGCTTATTTTTGTTATCTTCTTCAATTCGACAGAAATAGTCCATGCATAACTAACTGCTTACAAGAACCTCTAACGACTGTTATACGGGTGGAACCTCAATTCTTTACAGAACTTGGTGAAAACATGTAACGTTAGTACTTAGAAATGATGATATTATCAAAATTAATGGCAAGAATTTTTTTTTTTTGGCATTATTGTTTCTGGTGCGCTATCTTTTAGATATCCGTGCCGATTCTTAAGTGTGAATCCTGAACAAGAGGGCGTAGCCTTTGGAAATTAATTATGCAAAGTAAAGATTAACGGTATGCAAAATTTTAGGGATCTTTCCACATCATCAAACTCTGGATTGGAGAACTGTGAAAGTCAATTCTAAACCTAGCTACAAAGTTTTTAAGGCCCATGATGCTGCTAGAGTCGTAAACAAGTAATCTTGGAAGTTAAAATACTTGATAATACTCTGTACAAAACTGAAGAAAACTTTCATTTCACGTAGTTCAGTTCTGTACACGGTTAATCTATCTAACATAGCTTTACAGGAACAAAATGCGACAAAATTTACACGAAACAAAAGCTGTAAAAGATTCATTGATCATCATCCTTCAATTATTCTACAAAAGTATTGTAACTCTTGTTATAAGTTAGATATCTCATCTTCCACGAACAGAAGAAGAATATTTGATTTGGCCAAAAACTTCAGTTGCTTATTAAACCGAGATTCCTGTAGGAAGGCTTGTATTTGGTGTTTCAATAAGTGACAACATTTGAGTCTTGATGTAGCCCATGCATTTCTCGATATCTCTGTAGACAGGAAGGTTTTGTGAACATCTAGGTTGCAAGCTTTCAACTGCATGCTCTAATATCCGTGCAATGTCAGCCGGTGGAAACCGTCTCTCTGAAGTGTTCTGCATATTAAAACAGACGTTGGAAGTAGTGCAAGAAACTGTTTGAAAATGGAAGGAGATTGAGCTTGATGAGAAATATCGATCCTTGATTCTTACTCAACCTTCTAATTAATTCCCGTTAATTAGCAAGTTCAGAAACCAAAAAATTATCAACGATTCTTAGTACAGGGGAAAGAACTTGGTTAATACAAATTTTCCATAAGTAGAAGAATTACATTAAAAAATCACCATTTACTGCAGATTAAAGTCCAAAAACTGACGTCTTAATTAATTGGTGGTTAATAACGATCCAACTTTACGTTCCTCAAATCTTAAACTTGGTGGTTAATAACCATCCAACCTTAAAGGTTTTGCGGGGAATTTCCAATTAAAACATGTGTCGCGATCCCCTACTCTCTCTCTCTCTCTCTCTCTCTCTCTCTCTCTATGATTTTATAAGGGGGCCTTCTTTACAATTTTTTTTTGTGAATTGGATTTTGTTTGAAATAAGAATTATTCGTGAGGATTATGGTGTGCCCCTGGATCCTGAATCTGGTCTTAGGATTCTTCACAAATTTTCTTTAGCAATGATCTTTAGTAATTAGAAAACAAATATTTAAGATATATTATCTTTTATAATTTTGGAACTTATACTAAATATTTAATGCTTACTTGAAAAACAAATTTGCATCCTAGCAGAAATCTAGAGCACGTTGGTTTGTTTAAGTGGTTTAGCTTACCCAACTGGACCAAGGACTACCCAAACTGATTAATCCAGATATTCCATATCCGGTTACCAAAAGTAACCTAGAATGAATAAGACACCATTTAAAGTTTAATGTTTACCTGAATCATGAACATAGTAGCTATGCACTCTGACATTAGTGCAGAAAGTATCTCAGACTCATTTGCAGAGGACAAACAAGCTCCCTTGGGTGCATTGGCTGTTGCTGTAAATGATGGTGCTCTGTTCTGGTATGCTGATGGGGCTGAGCAAGAATATCTAGTTCCCAATAGCTTGGAATCAAGTCCAGACTGGTCATTGACAGCAGAATCTAAAGCACCTCTAATTCTAATATGAGCATCTTCTCCTTCTTTCAGTGAGGACATTGTCTGACAAAAGTAGCAAGAGACCAAGTTTAGTAGACCAGATAAAACTAGAGAACAGAACAAATTTAACATATTGAGGTGAGCCTCAGATGTGAATCTTGAACACGACCTCAAAAAACAGAAAAGAAGAAGGAAAAAAAAGAAGAGAACAAAAAAAAAATTCAAAAAGTGCATTTTATGGTTCTAACAATACAAAAATATGGAATTGAAGTTTTAAGGAAAAAGATATCAGGAAATACCATGAAACATTGAAGCATGTTTAGATTGTGTGTTTCTGATTTGTAGCGAGACACACACACATAAAGAATAAGAAAGAAAGAGAAATTAATTGAAGATTTAGGGAAATAGATTCAAACACTTCTAAAATGTCACCAAAATATTAGCTTAACAGCACTCTTTAACTGACAAAGACAATGTTAACACTTTAGATGGGTAAAACATAGTTTGTTATATATGTTAATAAACACAACAAGTATCTCAAGAACCTGAAGAAATTAAGTGCATTATGTTTTTTGACTTACCAATACAGCTGTATCAACCATAGTCCTTGCTTTCTCCCGAGCATTTGTAACAATTTCCTCTATATACAAACTTGAATTTTGACTAGAAAGATACTCTGCACTAAGGGTGCCAGGAAGTCCATCATATTCTGTTGAATCTTTCAATAAGCTAAACTTTGGAGCTGTAGAATTCTTAATATAGGTATTGCGCTGCCTCAGATTATAGGAAGCAGAAGCAACCTGAAACAAGAGAACTGAGTATTTACTTTCTCATGAACCCATTGTGTTGATGGGAAAAAAAGTTAAGTGGATATGACTATGGATATCTACCTCATCATTGACCTCATTCAGCAGTTTAACTATTTTACGATAATGCTCTATGACATGGTTAGATTCCGCACCTAATGCTTCATCTGTTCTTCCATAAACAACATCATTCATCTGTCTTAGTTCTTTCAGCACTTCTTCCTGGAAAAAGAAATTAAAGAAAAGGAATTCAATGAATTTCAATAAATCTGATCCAGTAAGCGAAAGAAGCCCCAACTATCATGAAAAAGTAAATAGTATTACACCAGAAAAACTTTTGGTGGGTTTAGATCGCTTTTTTTAAGAAGGGAGGGGAGGAACTGGGGAGGTTACGACGCTAACCATTCTAAAATTATGTTTGTTTACATTTTTTTGTGAGGGGAACACAAATTAGTTCCATCGCTCGCCTCCCTCTCCATTCCCTAGTTGTCTATCCAAACACAATTAGTTACATCACGCTCCCTTCTTCTCATTTCTCTGCCCTTGTGTTTAGTTCAATCATCCCCCTCCCCAGCCTTCTTCTCTATCCAAACTGACTTTGAATGATAATAGTCATGATACTAAGCCCTGGAATATTCATATTACAACTTCTTATCCGTATTACTATATTTCCTCGAGTTGCTCATACAATAGTAATTACGTGAAGAAAGCTACATGTACCTTAAATTAAATTCTCTCGTACTGAAGGTATCATTGTTTAAGTTGCAACTTTTTATAAGAAACCTAATCTGTTAACAGTTCATGCTTTAGAATGGCATCTAGGTTAAAAAACTTTCAGACTTTCAATGTATGAGCAAAAAAGTATACTACAATTTGTGCTTATGAAATGTCTTTGAAATGAAACTTTATAGCATTAAATATAGGTGAGAATGTCATCACTTGGTATATGGCGCGCTGAGAGAGGTATGTAGAATGAAGCATATCAGATGAAGGTGTCATATATTTCAGGTATACGACTAAAGTTTTCCCATAGAATGCAAAGACAAACAGGATGACTTGTGATGAGAACCTTTTTATCCAGGGCGCGAGTAAGATCAGCAATAGTTTTGATGTCAGATTCCCTTGACTGGACCTTTGCCAGCATACAAGGTTGGCTGCATCTTTTATGCGGTGAAGAAGCAACTTCCTCATCTGCACAAGGTGTGGCCTTTAATATAGCATTGACAGTCTCCCCCTGCCATAAATGTTATTTATCATAAATATAAAGATATTGGTCTCTATAAAAGTACAAAGGCAAACAGAAAAAAGCAGCTAACCGTCGCCTGCTTCATTGATGTAATGCATAGAAGTTTAAAAGATGGGTTGAGAGAGATTCCATTTGCATCCAAACTTTGATCAAGAACAATCTTGTCATGTAGCTCCTTTGGCAGCACGTTGAACTTTGCAGGATTCCTTAATTCACGCTCCTGAAAACATGCATCTTGATTTTTACCAGAAACTTCGCAGAATCGAGCAGCAATACCATTTTGATTTCCAAGACATTGACCAACATTCTGACAAGGTTGCAATGGAATACCCTCAATATTGTGAGAAAAAAAATGCTGACTACCAATTAGAATCATTAACAAGAATCCTTGCTAAGCATGTCTAAGACTAAAAATAAGATTCACAAACTGCAAGAAACGATGCTGGATTTGGATGGCTAGCTACTAGGTTACATCCTGGGTATATTCATCTATTATGTACCGTAGATGGAATGAAAATATTGAAACTTTATCCTTAAAACAAGAAAATTGTCATTTCAGACAAATGTTTTTGTAGCATATTCACGCAAGTGAAATATAGCTACCTTTCCTTAATACTGTTGTGTCCACTTTTCACGGTCCTGCTTACTTAAGAACTTCAAAGTAAATAATAGCAAACAGACTACAGCTCCACTTGAAAGCAAGAAAATCTATTTTTAAAGAACAAGACACTAGCTCAAGGAGAACCAATAATTGAGTGAGCGTGCATAGAACAAATTCACTAGGATACACTATGATCAAAGAATAAAGAGACATGCATCTAACCAGAAATTTTTTAATAACATTTCATTAAATGTCTTATGAACTCGATCGAAACTTGAAGATCAATGGTGAGAAATTATACCTCCTTTTTCTCACTTTCATCCAGAGAAGAATATGCATGACCCTCAATTTCAGCAATCTGCCTCCAACAAGAGATTATATAGATCAATTAAAGTTGGGGATTAAGGAGGTAAAATTTTGAAAGAAAGACAATCAAATAGAAGTAAGATGACATCATACATTTCTTACATTTTCAGCAAAACTTTTCTCCATCATAGTGACATGTGGACCTTTTGCCTCTTCTGCATCAGAAACAGTTTTTCCAACAGTGTTTTCATCAGGGGTTATAACCTGCTGCAGTTTAGCTTCTTTCGAAAGGATCTCATCGTATCTAACACTTGAAGGATACTCTTGATCTACTTCCACTAAGATTTTGGGCTTATGACTTTCAGGATTTGCTAACAATGTTTCAGACTCATTAGTCTTGTTAAAATCAGTCGAAGAATACTCTGTATCCCTGCTGTATGAGATTCTTGAGTTAACAAGTTCGTGAAATCCTGTGACTGATCCAGGTAGATTAGACTTTTGAACAGAAAATAACTCCCCAACTCCTTGGACTGAAAACTTTGAGTTATCATTTTCAGGGTTTGCAGATAGTGATCCATGTTTGTTAAAATGGCAAGAGAAACCATTTCCACCTTTTTGTTTTGCACCATGGAGAGATGACTCTTGTACTACGAAGAAAAGAGATGAATTCAGAATTTTGGGGGAAAAAATATGTAATGATTGCTAAGGTGAGACAAGCACAGACCTCTTAAATATGCATGTATGCTTACACATTTTAGACACTTCAGAATTTCAACATAAGAAGTGAGATACATCAATCTATAGAAAGATGAACAGTTAAGGTCTATTTAGAATTCATAGTCGTAAGAGTTGGCATACATTATCCTATCATTAGATTTAGAAATGTATGTAGTGTGCATGCATTTTCATCAGCATGCATGCCTACATATATGTGCATTTATTTTTGTTGGAATATATGTTCATTTATGTATAATCTTCTTGAACACACACATAAACTATGTTCTGCGGTGTTCTTGTCCCAGTGTCATACTTTCTGAGAATTAGGTAGTAACAACCACGTTTTATTATACAGTATAAGGTGCATAAAGGTTTCAACAAAAGCAAGCGATAAAAGAAAAGAAAAAGGTAAAGCATGTGCTAAGTATGTGAAATAAAAAGTAAGAGTGTGCTATGCTTATATTAACAAAACAGTAAAATAGAAGGTTCATAAACTAATCTATATGCAAAGCAGCGAAATGAAGAGTTTATCCCTATGATTCACCCTGTTAATTCAGATCATCAACACTTGCAATCAGTTGGGAACTCCTATTTCTGTTTAGATTAAAGGTTACAGGGATTAAGAAAACTAACAAGATTCACAAGCAGAGCCTTCCAACCCAATGTTTAATGACACATCTGCTAGGATTTGAAGAGGATCTACGGCAGAGCCTTCATGGAAAAAAGAAGAGTAGTTAATAGCGAGCAGAAAATTATAAAAATATTAGTGAACATGCTGTAGGTATCATTCCCAAAAGAGGGGAAAAACGAAAAACAAAAAGAAAGAAAAAGAGAACCACTCTTAGCAATTATCAAATTGGAAAAGAGTGATGTGGAATATACTTATTATCTGTAAAAAGTTTTATGACTAATTAAACATAATAACTCGCTTTTTGCTCTCAGTTATCTAAACTCTATTGATTTGTTGAGAATTAGTGCCATGGTGCATGCCATATAACGAAAAGGTTGCATGTCATTCATCTGCTAGGACAGGATGGCATTTCAGTTCAAAATCTGAGAAGATGCCAGCAACAGGTCTAGAAAGGATTTAATTTGACCATTGGCCCTGCATCAATAGCTTAGGTACTTACAAATTCATGCAAACTTCAGGGTCTTTGTCAACTAGAGATTCCTAAGTTTAAGCCTAATTCTAAACATGTAGCATCTGCCTCCAGTGATTTAATTTAGAAGCACGATGGGTCTAAATACATTCAGTAACAAGAAAGTGTGGTTGTAGGGTTAAACTTCAGTGAGAAAATTTTGTTTCTTAGTAAATTGGTAATATGAATGCAGACAGAAAGATATAACTGAATTACTCAAAACTAGTCATCTCTCCAAGAGACACCTCTCCCTTTGACCCTGAGAAGAGTGTGTGGTTTTCCAGTTATGAAATGTCTATCCATTTTATCCTAAAATTTCCTGGCTTTAATCCATTTCCCCCTATCACTAGATATTTCTCCTATATCTTTAAATTTGTTGCCATTATTTACAGGGATTTTTTCATCACTTCTTGAAGCATCATATACTTACATTGAGTTACACTTTGATCAATACGATCAGCATCCTGCACTCTGATATCGTTTCCGAGAAGGCCATTATCAGCATCCCTTCTTCCCGAGCAACCTTCCAAACAATTGTCATCCGGCTTCTTACTAATGTCACTTGAATTGGTCATATCTGTTTCAGCACACTATCAAAAGAAAAAGACAATTGATACTTAGTTTTTTTATTATGAATATCATAATAGAGGAAAGCATTAATGGAGTAATGAATTGTAGTAATGGAGATAAATACCATTTCCTTAATACTTTCAATGAGTTTACTTCTTTGTTGGAACCCTGAAATTAGACTTGAATCTCCACCATGTGGACCATTTGTTAATGTTAATGCTTCAGTATGGGTGTGTTCATCATGAGCCGATTTTAATATGCACTTACTAGCTGAGACAAAATTGTCCCCATCACCTTGGCTATGAGTTATGGGAACACGAGGAGTCCTTTTCTGAACAGCACGCGGCCAGCAATCCGTAAAGAAAGCTGGAAATAATTTAAAAAGAGAATCATGTTCTAGCTCAAGGACATGTAGCACAAAACCAACAACTAAATTAGATAACCATACAACATATCAATCTAACTAGTATGAAGGCAGATAACGATGAAAACAATTGCTGGAACGTAATATATTGTCTCTGTTAGGGACACGTGATATGTCCACTAGACTCTAAAGGAATGAGAAGAATGGCCATGACCATAGTTCATAGCATTCTTTTGAATCCAAGCTAAATGCAACATTAAAATTCTCGATCGATAGAGAGAAAGGCGGGCAGGGGGGGGGATATTTAGGCAAACTAGCAGAAGTAAATCGTATGATGGGAAAAAGATAAGTGGATCAATTTACACCTGGAAAGAAAATGCATGTAAAATACTACTTTTTGTGTGTCCCAGTGAGTGGAAGAGAAGGTTTATGCACATGATGTTCAATGTTTATGTAAGATGCACGACGATCATGGACACTAGATTTGATGCAAATAGGATTTATTAGCATCTTAGGTTTGTCGGTAGGGTTAGATTTGATTCTATGTAATCTTCTATTTTAGTTGGGATTTCTTTCGGATTTCATTTTGATATTTTCTTCTAGTTTAGTTATTTGATTGAATTTTTGTTAATTATGTTAAGATTAGATTTTATTAGGACTTTTATTTTCTTCCAAATGTCATTTGCTAGTGTAATTCTCCATGGGAATAGACCTTGCTTAATAAAATGTGAGTTTGAGAAATCTCTCTAAGCATTTGAATTCCTTGCCCTTTGGCATGTGATGCCTTTGGATGGGATGCCTTTAGGTGTGAAGCCTATTAATCTGAGCCTTTAATTCCAAAGATCCTCTCAAAATTCTAGCCCACAAAATAAAAAGCAGCCCAAATCCCTGTAGGATTACTGTTCATATAGTAGTTCAAACTGCTGTTCATGGGTAGAGAGTAATCTGAGTTACTGTTTGTGGGTGAACGGTGACTATCGTGATGTTTATGTGTCCTCATCCTCCATTTACAAATGTTGCCGATTGCACTCCAAACTGTAGAACAGATCCAAATCGTTTCCGAAGACCTCATGTTCAAGATTCACACTCCTTCCGATTGTAGCCCTCCCCCCATTCCCCATCATAAGTGCTGGAACAAGTTAATCCCAAAGCAATCATCACAAATTAACAGATGTATCTATGCTAAAATTAAGGGGGTGTGGTGCAACTGAAGTTGCATGCAACTGGGTCTCCTTTGCCTGGTTATAATTGTTTTCTTCATTGCAGGTAGATATTGCAATTGTAACTATTATTGCATATACCCCTTCGATTGAAGCTCACGACCAGTGCAAATTTAATTATAAGTTGCACTTGCAACTGAAACAATTAATAACTTAGTTGCATGTTGCAACAAACCCAAATAACAAAATACTTTTAAAACTCAAAGAAGAATAAAACTCAAATATCTTAAGGCTTTCTAAAAATATAAAAATATTTGTTTTCAATTTCTTTAAAAAATGTTTAAATTTTTACAAAAAAACTAATAAATATTCAAAAAAATCCAACAACCCCCCCCCCCCCCCCCCCCAAAAAAAAAGAAACACTATGTTTAAAAGTAAATTTAAGAATACCTTTTTTTCAATTAATTCAAATTGAAGACAAGTCACATATGAGAAGTTGCAAGTAGAACAATATAGTTACAACTGTAGTTACAATTGCAAGGTGTAAAATATTAAAGTTTAACCCAAACAGTTGCAACTGTATTTGCATGCAATAATAGTTGCCACGTTTCTGTGCATGAAACTGACAATTGCAAGCAACCGGACGCCACTTAAGTCTTAGAAGAAATATGGAAGATTTTTGGGACAAGATAGTAAAAGGAGTAGTTCTGTAATTGAAGATCAAACTTGCCTTGTAAATGCTTCTTTGTCTTGCACCCGTGACTTGATTTCACTGATTGATTTTGCAAGCACGGTCCATCAGATCGTTTCAATATGTCCAGTTCACGTTTTGCACAAGAAGACTTTACAGGCTTCAGAATTTTTGATGGTGCACCTTTCCTCTCATACTCATTGTCACTACCATCCTGAAAGTTGTTCAGTCAGTGACTACAAGGTGACAGCTAGTGTAATAGTGACTAAGTATCTTTACCAAAATCAGAATTGAAAAGGTACGTCAAAAAACTCACAAGATTATTGTAATGATCAGTCATCATTGCTATAAATCCATCTGCAGTAGCCATTCCTTCAGGAAGATTTAAGTACGCCTAAAATTGCAGATAATTAGATGTGCCAACTGCTGAAAACCATGTGACACAAGCAGAGAAAGATAAATTTTAAAACCAAAATATTTTAAACACTAATCAAGAACATCAAAAAATATTAAGACAACAAGGATAAGCGATATAGGTTTCCAATCACTAATGCTTATGTAATGAGGGCGAGCACCCAAACAGCCATCTAATCAGGCATGCACTTGCATGAATGCATGCACAAAAGCGCCCACGCACACACAAACTCCCAATTAAATGCATGCACAGACGCGCGCGCACACACACAAACTCCTATGCATGCATGCCCACACCCATGTACATGTCCACACCCGCCCACAAGCTCAAGCGCAAGCGTGCGTGCACACACACGAGGCACGTGCATATAGTTAGATATATCTCCATGTAGCCATGCAAATATGATGTATGCTGAAATGATGTGCCAGCTGTTATGAGAAAATTTTTTAACTTCCCTTCTATATGTCTATGACCCCACTTAAACTCCAATTCTTCATACTTCCATAGCAGCCTTGGAAGCATGCATAACAGCTGCTATGGCCTAAATGTAACCAAATGCAAACCCATCACACTGTACAGTTTTTCCCTTATATCTTGTAGTCGCATTTATTCATGATTGAAAACCCCATAATCATGAAACCACTTAATCCACAGGCTAGAGGTCTTCAAATTGTATGACAATTTGTTTTGCATGTGCTTTTGAGACTTGACTTGGAGTAATGTGGATCTTTCATTTGAGATGAGAAGGTTTAGCCTTAGAATGTCATGAAAGGAAATATTCTCTTTCATAATCAACCACCTAATCAGTTGTAGGATAAAAGATATCCATGCTACAATATCTAAGTTCTCTCCATATCTTGGCAGTCTTTAACAATCCTTCTGGAAGCACTGAAAGAGTTAGTTTGGCCCACTTTGGTTCATTGAAGGATCTGAACCCAGATTTTAACCATGTAAACTGAAAGATTAGATGTTAAAATTAAACATCCATGTCCTAAACAGCAATCACTTAAGATTCTTTAAAATGAAAACTTTGTTGTGTGCCTATGCATATGTATGTATACATGCATGCATGAACATCCAATATGTACGCATACATGTGGCGTTCATGCTCAGTACAGAGAAAAATAGAAAATAATACCGTGAAGACATTGTGAAAAGTTCTTATGACAAGAGAGCCTACAGTTTTTAGATAATTCACACCGAATTTCATGATCTATAAAACTTCAGGAACATGCACCAATATCGTAATGGCCAACATTTTAAACTTGATTAACCTCGCGAAAGCTAATTGGTTCTATATGACCAAATTAAGGTCTTAAAGCCCCTAACTACAGTTATGGGATTGAAGACAGTGGTTCATGGTAATTTACAGCTAGGTACCGAGCCTTGAGCGTCAAAAGATTTGGGGATCTTTTGAATATGCATCTTAACATAGGAGGTTATGTGAGTTCCACATCAGATTCATATCATTAAACCATATTAACACCTTCGACTCAATCAGATTATGCACAGCCACTGAATGAAATCATTATCCTTGTATTTATTAAATTCCTTCTCTAATTTTATGGACAAGCTGGAATATGATACATGACATACAAATCGCAATAAGATTCCTATTAGGCTTCTTCACTAGAAGTAATTATTAAATGCTATGCAGGAAAAAGTTTCGCACATTTGAGAAACTAGAAATGACACCAAAAACATATGTGTGTGTGTGTGTATGGTACAGGCTGTATGCTCACCTTATTCAAATTATAAAGACTTTCCACCATGTCTATAGACCTGTTCCCTATTAATTCAGCCACCTGAAAATGTAAACAGTTGTCATAAGAAACATGATCACATTAAACTCAAAATCGGGCTTGCCCTACATTTTTCTATGTTGAAATACATCATGTTTTGAAGATAATGAACCCGGACCTTTAATCGGGCTTGCCCTACATTTTTCTATGTTGAAATACATCATGTTTTGAAGATAATGAACCCGGACCTTTCTCCAATTTTTACCATACGTGCGAAATGCAGAAATACATCATGTTTTGAAGATAATGAACCCGGACCTTTCTCCAATTTTTACCATACGTGCGAAATGCAGCATAGAATTGTTTCAGCTCTTCCTTGTTCCATCGATAATCCAACATGTCAGACAATTTCCTTTTCTGCATCCATGTTTAAAAGGAATTAGGAATCACACTACAGTCTAAGATGCTATCACATGTAATGTGTACTTGCAATACATGTCCAACGACTTTAATAATACCGCTATGCAATATACAAAAGTGTTAAACAAAATCTAGTCACAACATTCAAGTTAAACCAGATAACATTGATAACATATGTACTAAATAAAGAGTGTGTCTGTGTTGTGTGTCTGTGTGGTATGACAACAAACTCCGTCTGTGCTTAATAATTAATATACTTGGCAATGTGCCTGTCAAAAAACATTTGGCAAAGCATTGATTGATGAGGTTGACATCCCCAGACAATTTGACCAAATCCTTGTCCTGGATAATTAATAAAGTACTATCTAGCATGTGCATGCAATCCTCTTGAAGGTTATCCTTCAGTCCTATTCTGTGTCTGTTTGATTAGAACTTATTTACATTTTGCAAAAGGAAACTATCAGCTTGTAAACATATGAGATTTTTGTTTAACTATAAAGTGTGAAACTTCTATACATAATGTGATTGAAGGTAATAGGTAATTCCATCACTCTGAAAATTTCAAATTATAAGCAATACCCAGCTACGAAAATATTATTTTTAATACTGTATGCGACCGATGCTTAATCCGAACCAGGATAAAGAAAGATGTAGGTAATAGGTATTACAAATCAAAATGAATCCCAAAGACAGTCGAACGGAAGAAAAATATTAACTAATCAGAACCCTAGCAACCCCCCCTCCCCCCCCCCCCCCCCAAAAAAAAAAAAAAAAAAAAAAAGGTTAACTTTTATAGGCACAAGCGATATGCAGCCAAAGTGCCTAAGATAAAATACAATTGTTGAAGCTATTCATATGCCTTAGGAAAACAAAAGCTTTTATGAGATACAAGAATAAGTTATAGTGCAACAAAACATTAGCAAAGAAAGTAGACACCCAGTTTCCTAACTAAAGAACCAACAGGCCTGCCACTTTGGATAAAATTGAAACACATAGTTTATGGGAAATATTATGCGATTTTGTTACTTAAGCACACGGTCTTCTTTAATTAACACAAGTAGAAGACCTTTCTTTTTTCTTTCTTTCTTTTCTTTTTACTCCCTTCTGTTGGTCACCAATACCAGAGACAAAACTGACAACAAATAGAAGATAGAAAGATTATAACTAACATAAGTTGAGGCAAAGAACTTACTTTGACCTTGCTTTTGTTTGCATTTGTCACAACCTTATCAGGCCACTCTTTGCTAGCTTTAGACGTACGCTTGTTCACCATGCGTGACATTTTTGTTGGTCCCATGTAGTCTAGTTCATTGTAATATTGTTAAAAAAGATGAAACATATAAGCAACATAAGAAGCATATAACCGTTGATAAAAAGAAAGAATGCTATTCACTGGTGAAATTCAAAATAAACGCAGAAAAAAGAGAGGAAATGACTCAAAACATACATAATATAGCACAAACTTTACAAGTATTAGTTTTGGAAGGGAAAATATATGATCTAATGAAATTAGAAGAACCCTTGGACAGGGAAAAGGCGTGATTCAGTGAAAAACTTTAAAAAAAAAATTAAAACTGAAAACAGGAGTCATCATGGAGAAAAATATACCCTGAAAATGAAATGAGAAAAAGAGAAGATATAAGAAAAAATGTTCACCAACAATAATCATCCAAAGATACTGACAAAAGTTTAATATGAGAATAGAGCCAAGATAATAGTATCTAACTTCGAGCAAATTGGAAGAAAGTTTAATACAAGAATAGTATCCAACTTCGAGGAAATTGGAAGAAAGCATATATCCTCTGTTTATTATTTATTTAATGGTAGGAAACAGAAATTAACAATTGATTTTAGCTAATATCTGAAATTTTTTAAAATTGCAAATACGAACTTCTAGTTTATTAAACAGATAAGAAGTAAGGGACTTCTTGTTTTAACTTTAGGAGAGGACCATGGAGACCTTATAATTCATTAAGGTTATGAACAAAATAGAAGTGGCAGAGAAAGCGTCCTAACAGAACTAAAACAAACAATTCAATTCGAAAAAAGAATAAGAAAGCACAAGAATTCCACAAACCTTGGTTGAAATGCTCAATTAGTCAAAGATGCTCGACTAAACTCAGTGGTCACATTTACACCCTCACCCTCTCAGAGGCACTCCAGATAACTGATGAAATGGATATATTAGTTGCTAAAGAAAAGCCTGCAAAGAGAAGATAATCCCGTTACATCATTGTGGCTGAACCAATCAAAAGAAAGTATAAAGCCATTAAAAGAATCAAGAAAGAGGGGAAACAGTGAGGTAATGCCAATGTGATCACTGAATCATGAACATGATGAGAATGGTGGTGTGTTCGTTGCTCCACAAGGTGCTCACTACAGAGAACAATAAGCATGGGATCGGGCAATTCAAAATGATGGAGGTGAAGCGACAAACAAAAGCATTTGGAGACAACAAGTAGTATGGAGGAAAGGTGGGATCAATGTTCTAAACTCAAGCTGGCCTTGTGAAATCGCTTGTGGCTCACTATACCCATCAAGTCCCAAAAGAGGACAGATATTAGTGGAAGAATAAGCTCAAAACATATAGCTATAAGCGATAGGTGAACAGGGCACCCAATACAACAGTAACATGGGCAAGAAATGGCTCATAATATGTAAACAAATAAACCCTCAAAGTTGATCTGAGCGGTAGGAGCAGAAACCGAAAATGTTGAAGGCGCAACATGTTGAACTAATTATTTCGCAGCCAATAGCCCATGGGAAGGGCCATATAACCAATGCCATCAACACAGTATGGATTAGAATAAACATATGGATAAGAGCAAAAAATAATCTTTAGTCTCTGAAATGGTTAAAGTTGCAATATTAATGGGTAATGATCAGAATATCATCATATAAGGAGATCTTATTGAGTTCTAGACTATCAGCTTGCAATTCTGGTAAATAAGAAGGAGAAGGAGAAGGAGAAGGAGAAGAACAATTATTGAAAAGAAAAGAAGGCATCAAACTTCTTATCACTCAATCCTGTCCAATTTAAAAAATTTCTCCTGTCTTGCATTTGTGGGTAGATCATATCACAGATTATGCAAACCAATTTCAAAACCATGAGCAGAATTCATATGAAAATAACAACGAAGCAAGAAACAACCTCAATGCCTTCTTCAAAAGCTCACACCACCAAAAAAAACCCTAATTGCGTCAAAAAAATTTATACCTTGTAAAATTAAAAAGCATATTTCTCCTAATCAAAATAGGAACTGGACAAAATCAAAGCCTTCAAACAACCCAAGAAGCCTATCACCCCCCAATGCACTCTTACCTCAAGAAGATTTCACCATTACACTTGGCAAAACTGATCAACGAACAAGAAACACAAAACCCAAAGAAAAAAACCCTAAAATCTACAGCGATCGCTGAGAACCAGTAACACATTCGAATGATTGAATTGAAAGATGACGAAAAGATCCGAAGGTCAACAGAAATATCGAACGCAAATCAAGAGTCGCATAATGACTAAAAGATCAGAAAAAAATCGCACCTTTGAACCGTTTGAAGCAGAGAGATTAAAAACCCTAGTTTTATTTTTCTTGAGAGAGAAGAGCCAGATTGCGGATTTGAGAATTTGAGGAAGATTTATGAAGGGGAAGGGAGGAGCTTCTCCGAGATATATTTATACACGCGCGCGTAAAGTAAACAAATATAGTCGGGATTAATTAAAGATTTCTGATATAAGTCCCGAAGGGTAAATTTCACAAGACCCCCTGAGTTTGGAATGATTTGCAAATGGCCCTCTAAAGCTTCCAAATTAGCGAACACCATCTTAAAATTTTAAGAGCTTCAGAGAACCTTGTAACTGTTGGAAAAGTTTCACTTTAACTTTGGGGCCAAAAAAAAAAGACCGCTCCAAGGTTTTCCGACGACGACTGAGGTAAGCCGAAAGAAAATGAAGGTGGAAGATTTTTTATGATATAATTAAGAGAGGAGGTTTTTTTTTCAAAGGATATTTTAGTCTATGGAACTTTTTGAAAGTTCAGAGAGTTCTCTGAAATTACTCAAAGTTTAGGGGTTTTATCTAATTTTTAAAGTTCATCGATTATGATCAAAATGAACTTTGTATTATTTCAAACTTGAGTCGTTGTTAGGCAGTAGTTGGAGGCAGGAATTTTGATTGGGTCCGAAAAATAATTAAACACGATAACACATATGAATATTTTTTTTTTTTTTACTTTTTGCACAATTGATCAACATCTAAAGGTCATTACATAACAAGACATTGAACTGGGGTATAGATTTATACCTATTTGTGCAATGGAGTCATTTTTATTCATGTACTTTTGTATGGGCTAAAATACCAAATTGGTATTTTTATACGAACATGTTTGCCAGTTTGGTATTTTTAAAAACTCCGGCGACAACAAGGCATTTATTCTCGGCCTTTTAGTCAATAAGGCACATCATGTTCGCCGGCAGCCAAAAATCAAATGCAAGTGGCTCACCTGGCAAATTAAGTGGTGACATGGATGCTGAGTCCGCAGGATTGTAAAGAGAAGGCGATAATTTAACCAACAAAAAACCCTAATTAGCCAAATCCACCCTACTTGCCAGATCCCCCCCCCCTCAAGACTTAAACTTTCTCGGCAGGAGTGAGTTCACCCTCAAATCGGCAGTTGCAGAGAATCTCTCTGAGGGAGAGATCGTGGATGTGAGCGTGGTGGGTCTTCTCTATTGCTGCAATCTTCAAGTTGTGGAGGCAAAGATAAGACATTGTATTACAGTCTTTAAGTCGTGGAGAGCACATGTGACTTTGTTTTACAATCTTCATTATCTTTAGTTGATTATAAAGGTAAATTATGGGTATAATTGTGTTGAAATCATAAGATCCGTGTTTACTTGCAACCAATTTAGGGTTTTAAGTGAAACCCGGTTTTTTTTTTTTTGAAATTGCTGATACTTTTTTGAAATTTGTTTGTAATTGAGGCCATTATGGGTTCAAGGATGTTGAAATCATCGTCTTAATGTTCATTTACACCAATTCAGAGACCTACGTGTAACCTAGTTTGGGGTTTTTTAAAATTCAAATCTGTTAAGATGTTGGATAAATTATATTGTTTCTAATTAAGTTATATTTAATTTTATGCAGATGGGAGTATTATTACTCGTTAAATTCCGACATGGTGGCTATTTTAATTTTGAGAATTGTGATTATATCAATGGTAGATATGATGTTAAGTTCATAGATGAGGATGCAATGTCTATTGAATTTGTCAGAGATAAAGTAAGAGAATTTGGCTATACGAATATGTTCACATTGTGGTATGGTGATCCAGGTAGGGGTTTGAATGATGGTGGTCTGATGCCTCTGCATATAGATTATGATTTGGATAAGATGTTACAATATGCTCGTAGTGAAAGGGTAATGAAGATATTTTCAAATCATGGTGTTGACAGGGCTCGGTTAGTAGCAGATGTTAATGAAGTAGGAACACAACTCAACCAAGGTGGTGCAACCTATAGTCAAAGAGAGCAAGCTATAGATCATGCGAATGCACATGATGAAATAGCTCCAATGCAAGAGAATTAATCAATGCAAGAGAATCAACCAGTGCAAGAGCAACCAATGCAAGAGAATCAACCAGTGCAAGAGAAAGAACCCAAAAAGAGAAAGAAGTTGACACTAATAAGGAAAAAAAGTAAGGGTAAAGGTCAAGTGGAGGATTCTATTCAATCTCAGATAAATTTCAATCAAGTAGAAGCTACTGACATGAATATCAACACCCCTATACACCAAGATTCATCATCTAGTGATGATGATGATTCAGTAGAAGAAAAACATATAAGATGGACCCTACCGAAACATTTGATAATGAAGCAGATGAGGATGATGCTGAGGCATATGTTGATGAGTTTAGTGGCAAAGCTGGGAAAGGAAAAGTAAAACAGAAGGGTGTGAATGAGAGGAGTAGCAGTATGGCTCAAAATCCCAATTCTACTTGATTTGATAGTGATGATTCAATGGAGGGGGTTGATAGTGAGGCTGAGGGGGCTTTGATCAATGATGATGAGGAGTTGTATTAAATTAGAAGGGTGAATAAGGATAAGTGCTACAATTGGTAGAATAGCATTCAATGCTGGTGATAGATTGTGAGATGATGATGAGGGACCTCCTGCTAGAGTGGGAGGAGTTGTAAATACAGTACACAATGAACGAGCTACTGACATGAATGCATAGCCACTTAATACTAACATAAATGCATGGCCACTTAATACTGAGAAAGTTTAAGGTAATACAACTTCAAATACAGTAGAGGAAGAGGGTGGTGATAAAAACACAAGGGGCACTGTAGGCTATAGATCTAATTGGCCATCTTTTTGGTTGAATTATGAGGGAGGGTATGAGTCTGAGCAAAGAGATAGTGAGGATGAAGGTCCTTTAGATGAAAGTGACAATGAAGAATCCAAGCACAAGCCTAAGCCCAAGCATCATCTCAGGTTAAGAAAACTAAGGATGAGGAAGAAGATTAAGTATCCTTTCTTTAATGAGGACGTGGTTATTATCTCAGTCTACTTTGCACCTGGATTGAAGTTTACATCAAAGAAGGTATTGAAACAAACTATTCTTAACAGTAGGGGAAATGGCAAGACAAATATTTCGACACCAGCATTAAAGTTATTAGAGAGAAGATGTAAAGGTAGAGGTAGAAGCAATAGTATACAAGGGGTCTTAGGTACAATTTATTTCTTGTGCTTAATTACATGCACTAGCCACACAATATAAGATTAAGTATAGTTTAAATTTTCATATTATTTGTGGAATCCAAGGTGAAACCCAGTCACAAGTTTCAACTTTAGGGAGGGGAAGAGGCAGAGGTACAGACAGAGGGAGGACTATTCATAACACAATGCCTGAAGGATGTGGACTATGGCAAGGTGAACATGGTGAGGCAATATACAAAGCAACAAGTCACATAGAGGCCAGAGTTATCCAAAGACCATCAACTCAAGCATCAGCCAATGTTCAGCCAAATTTTAATTAAGTGGATGTAATTTCTCTTTGTTGGATATGCTTAGACATTAACTACATTTTGTCTAGTTTAAATAATAGTTTATGTATGCTACATGTTATTTTATGCACAAATAGTTTCTGGGTTTGCACAGGTTTGAAGTTGAGTCCAGTTTTTAGTTTCTGGGTTTGGAAGTGATGTTGTTGTTGTTGTTGTGGGTTTGCACAGGTTTGGAAGTGATGTTGTTGTTGTGGGTTTGCACATGTTTGATGTTGTTGTTGTGGGCTTGCATAGGGTTGATGTTGTTGTTGTGGGTTTGCACATGTTTGAAGTCACAAAGAGAATCATGTTGTTTTGTACCTACAGCAAAGAGGATCATGTTGTTGTGTCAAAGGAATATTCTTTAAAAACTACATCACAAACAATGAATCTGATAAAAAATTAAAACAAATTACAGCATTTCATTTGAAGAGTACATCATACACTATTACATTGCCATAAACGAGAGCATCTCATATAATTATCATCTCATATTTACAACAAAGAACCCTAAGCACATTACAATAACTTCACAGACCATAATTACCATCTCATACAATTTGAGCTTGTTCTTTTGAAGTTTGATCAGATCCTCACATCTTGTTCTATCTTCTTCAGGTTTGAAATCTCTAATAAATAAGCACTAGCCTCTCTTTGACACATGCGTAGCTCTTCTTTAGTCTTGGCAATATCAGCATGGCATTCTCTCATCTCATTCTCAACACGTTCAATCAATTCATCCTTCAGTATATCATTGTTCCTCGGGTTCAATATCTCCTCTCAATAGAGGGAACAATTGAGATGCCATATTACATAATTGACCATCAACCCATTCCCAAACATGACAACTACCATTCTAGAATTTAAAATTTGATATCATACTATCAATCACAACAAATCAAACAAAATTTAAAACTTGAACATTGAACAAAAAAATTTACCTTATAGTTTCAGCATCTATAGAACCTCCTCCCGGGGTTTGCATCTGTCATTGATGTATAGTAGTTACATTCAGCTCCACAAGAACAAATTTTGACCATATTTCCTAATACAAACTAATATTGTAGTTTACTCCAGATCTATTCCTGCTTGAACTTGAACTTGAGCTTGACAAGGCCATGTTGGGGCTGCCACTAATTTGAAGATCTGAATGAAAGGGGAGGAGGCAGGAGCTCAAACCCAAATTTCAAGTTTGTCCCTAATTTGTGCGCGAGTGGGGAATGGGGAAGAGGATAATTTCAACGGCATTAACATCCACATCATTACAATCCTGCGGACTCAGCATCCATATCACCACTTAATTTGCCACGTGAGCCACTCGCGTTTGCTTTTTGGCCGCCGGTGAATAGGATGTGCCTTATTGACTAAAAAGCCGAGAATAAATGCCATGTTGTCGCTGGAGTTTTTTAAAATACCAAACTAGCAAACAGGTTCGTAAAAAAATACCAATTTGATATTTTAGCCCTTTTGTATGTGAAGAAAACGCTTGATCTTTGGTTTCTTTCCTATGTCAAGAAGGGAATTAACTCAAATCTATCCTCTGATTCAATTATTTTTCGTGGCATTTATCGATCCTCACTTGTTTTTCATGGCATATATGTACCCTAAATTGTATAAAATTAGTAGAATA